TATTAATTTATTATATGATTCTCTCTTTTATTAATTTTATTGTTTTTTAATTGAGTTTTTTATATGCTTGTAAGCCACCTTGAGTCGCTATTTGCAAATAGGCAGCAATATAAATTTCCTAAAATAAAATAAAAATAAAAATGTTATCTAGGAAATGTTATCCACAATATAAACTCTGCCCTTTTGCACTTCGCCATGTCTCACTCGCACAATTTATATTCTGATTGGCCACTTTTTCCATCTTCTGTCTGATGGATGCAAATGCCTGCTATTCTCTCTCAGTGCCTCTACTGTACCTATGTGCTTAAGTACCTGGTACTAAGTAGGCAGCCCCTAATCCATGACAATCAGATCAAAGAACTTCTAAGCCTTGGGTGAAATCATAGCCTAAGTATAATAGCATTCTCCAAGTCTTTATTCCATAGCAACTGATATTATTCACAAGGAGGTATACAAGCTATTCAGAAGTGCATTCTGCAGGACCTGTACTCAGAATTATGTTTCCTAGCTACTGGTATTCAGTTACATTCTTGTCGTCAAGAGCAAATTCCATTCTGTATTCGACTGCTTGAAAAGTGACCTTGTTTTACAATAGCAGAATTCATATCATTCCCCTTCTTGAAGTCGGATTTATTTTCTTTTACTGATTTATTTTCTTTTACTGATAAAAAATGAAAGTTGCTAGATCATATTGTTGTGCACTGGTATTCATTGTATAAATTTGTCTTGCATTTGTCAGAGAGGACACACATACAGCAGTCCTATCTGTGTTTATATAGAAATCAATACAGTTTACTCCCAAGCAAAGAATGGAAGGAGTTATTCAATGCGGTTCAGGCCTCAGGTAGAGTTACTGTGGCCTTAAATTTAACACAAGTCAAATGGGCATGCTTAAAATACAGTCATACAGTTTTGAATTACAAGTTGTCCTTGACTTAGAATCATAATTTTTGTCCTGGCTAAGCAAGACAGTTGTTAAATGAGCTTTGTCCTGTGTTACAACCTTTCTTGCCACCATTGTTAAGTGAATCACTGCAGTTGTTAAGTTAGCAACATGATTGTTGAGTGAATCTGGCTTCTTCCTTGTCAAAAGGTCACAAAAGGTATTCCTATGACCCTGGGACACTGCAACTGTCATAAGTACATGCCAGTTGCCAAGCGTCCACATTTTAATCACATGACCATGCGGATGCTGCAATGGCTGTATGAAAAATAGTCATAAGTCACTCCTTTCAGTGCTGTTGTATCTTTGAATGATCACTAAATGAATGGTTGTAAGTCAAGGACTATCTTAGCAGTCGGATCCTACCTGTTCCACTACCACGCGAACCTAACATGCTTTCCCCACTGAGGCCTGCAACGCCAATCAGCTGAGAGGATAAAAAAGAGAAAAGCGCAGGGGCAGGTGGGAGGGCCAATCAGCTGACTGTTCTTTTTTCCTCCTCTCAGCTGATCATTGGAGGCTTTTTTTTTTTTTTTACTACCGGTTTGGCTGAACTGGTAGCATATCATCACTGGACTATCTGTATGGTATAAATCTCCCCATCTGAGTTGCATTTAGAACTCCATGGCCAATGCAAGATTGATGAAACTTCACCAGGAACAAAGCTTTTTTAGAAATAGTCATATTTGACTATCTATCTATCTATCTATCTATCTATCTATCTATCTATCTATCTATCTATCCATCCATCCATCCATCCATCCATCTATCATCTATCTATCTATCTATCTATCTATCTATCTATCTATCTATCTATCTATCTATCTATCTATCTATCTACACATATAGATAGATATACAGATATACAGATATACAGATAGATGGATATATCCTCTCTCTCTCTCTCTCTCTCTCTCTCTCTCTCTCTCTCTCTCTCTCCTTCCCTCCCTCCCTCCCTCCCTCCCTAATTTCCACCCTTCTTCATTGTTTAAACTATTCCACTGGCAAAAATAATCTAGGACTAGATAACCCCTTTTAATTAGTGTAATTAACTGGAATCTCTGCAATGCTCATTTGTTTTATAATATCCAAACAATTTTAAAAATCACTCCTCTTCTAGATAAAAGTTATAATTGCCTTCCTGGTTTCTTTTTTTTTTTTGATAAAGCAAATAGAGCCCAATCCCCAAATAGAATAAAAAACCAAGTCAACTCATTGCAACACACTGGAGAATGAGGCAGCTGAATAAATAAACCCCCATTGGCACCACTTTTGTATACAGATAGTCCTTGACTTACAACCAATGGGTTTGGTGACTGTTTGAAGTTACAGTTTCAAACTTCAAAAGGTAAAATGGAGCAATGCTTTCTTAACAACTGTCTTGCTCAACAATGGAAATGTTGGGCTCGATTGTGGTTGTAAGCAGAGGACTACCTGTACTTGAAAACCAAGTTTTGATTTCCAGTTAGACCCTAGATTTTTAATCTAGGACAGGCATGTCAAACTGGTGCCCCACAGGCCAGATAAGGCCCATGCAGGGCATGCCCACACCAGCTCCACAAGGTCAAAAAACATCCCTGTTGTGGCCTGTCAGTCATCAGGCCCTCCAGCAACCAAATCAGATGAGGCAATGGTATGGGAGTCAGGGCCAGCATCAAGGAGATCTGAGAGTTCCGAGGGAGAAGAGGGAATGGAGCTGTCAGAGAGAAAGACAGAGGTAGAGCCTGGGCTGTCCATCAGCCCTCAGATGGAGAGTCAACAGCCCCCAGGTCTACAGGTGTTTGATGAGGAAGAGGAGGAACAGATGGGTCCAGTGCCTGATGCGCGAATGTTTGAATAAGCCAAGAAGACTGAGTTTACATATTATGTAAATCCCAATCTGAGCATTATATCTGATGTGATATGTGAATCCTTCTCATGAATTTGGAGGATCTGAAGAGCCTAAGTTATTCCAGTCCTGAAATGTGTACTTGTGTGCTTTTAATTCCTTTTCACTGACTACCACTTATATTCTGGCAAGGTTGAATTGAGTCAATTGGGTTTTAATTTCATTAGCGAAAAATGCAGTAGGATTTTTTTTTCTCCCCTTGTATATTACTTGAGAGGTAAATTGACAGCCGGCAGGTTTCAGGGCAGATATGCCAGTTCTGTCAACAAGGAACATATGTTTTGTCTCCAGAGTCTTTAAGTGCAGGGCAAAAACTCAATTGAAATGTAAGATAGAAGAAGCGATCAGTATAACCTGTCATGGGTACGTGGGGGAAACTACTTTCATGCTGACAAGAGGCCACTCAACCATTCAGTGTGGCTTCATAAGGATCCTATCTAGTTGCATCATGTCATCTGAGAGACATTTTGCCAAGCCTGTATCTAAAAGCTAAGTCAAGAAAGAGGGAATGAGCTTTTCCATCTCAATAAAGGAGAATATTTGTAGCTCAGGGTTGAAATGAGGGGTCCTTGGTGCATTCTGAGTTTACATGTTTTCTTATAGATCAGGGATGTCAAACTCAAGGCCCAGGGGCTGGATCTGGCTTGTGGGGCGCTTAGATTTGGCCCACGGGGCCACCCTAGAAACAGTGAAGGACCGGCCCACGATGCCTCTGCCAAGAAAAATGGAGCTCAGGAGGGCTGAGGCCCTTCTGAGCTTTGTTTTTGCTGGCAGAGGGATGCAGGAGGCCGTCACAGCCAAAAATGGAGCTCAGGAGCCCATTTTCACTGGCAGAGAACTCGGGCCACCACAGGTGCCTCTGACATGAGTGACATCAAGCTGGCCGCACCCATCCTGGACATGCCCAGCCCCCTGAGGTCAAACACAGCCTTGATGTGGCCCTTAATGAAATCTAGTTTGACACCCCTGTCAATGTTTCATTACTCAAACTAGGTTACATCATCAGCACTGGAATGGGTGCCTGGAAACTGAAAATTAGCACAGAATTAATAATGATGATGGATTAATGATGATGATGACGATGACGATGATGATGATGATGATGATGTTGATATCCATTCAGTTGTGTCCAACTCTTGTTGATTAGATGAGCCAGGTCTCTCCACATCTTCTAATCTTGCACTACTTTTTTGAGTTGTTCTATGCTCTGGTTGGTGTCAGCTTTGTTGGTGAGTTCATAATTAAAAGGAGCCAACATCTTCAGAAATTTAAAATACAATTTATTGATAAGCAGTTTGTTAAAATAATACATTTTTTCAGCATATAAATCAAAGCAGCATACATTATATTAAAATCATCGTGTCAGTTTATTTTCTTGGAGGAAGAAAAGTATAATTCAGGACAGAACTATTAATTACAATCAAAATTGCTGTCATTTCATTTTGTAACATTCCAGTTCTTAATATTTGCCTGTGGGTGTGTAATAAGCATCATTGAAATATAAAATAGAAGTTATAGGCTTGTTAATCAAAACATTGAATATATAAACTTCTTCAATAGATCAGTGCTATATTCTGTTTTATAAAAATACAGAAAGTATAATTTTACCAAGAACGTATTTTTTTATTCTGATCTCCAGATTCTAAAAGACGCTAAGTAGTTATAAAAATCAGACTTCCATTGTACATTGCAAAATATCTTAGTTCATTAGATTCACTGTATTGAGTCTATTATTTCTATAACAAAACAGCATTTTAAACTTTAAAATGGCTTGTTTATTCACTTGAGGGCATACTATAAGACATAACACATTGTAATAATTCTCCATAGAAATATATATAATGCAAATGAATCATAAGCAAGTATTACTACTCAACTTCTTCCTGTAGACTTCCATATCTTGTGAATGATTTATAGTCACATTATTCAACCTAGCACCTACCATCTGATTGCAGGTAAAATATAAGTGGTTCTCATTTATAGTAACAATCCCTTGTTCTGTGACTTTTTAAAACTTGCAACAGCAAGGTTATGGTTATGACCAGCACTTGGAGTTCCAGCTGTCACAGCTTCCTTGCAGTGCAATTACAATATTGATGCAAACCACAGTTATGTAATTGCAATTTCCAATGTTTCTTGCTGGTTTCCCAAAAGCAAAGTCAATGGGGAAGTCAGCAGGAAATTGGAAGTCCTGTTCAAATGAGGTCCACACCTAATGACTGCAACCGAGACTGTTGGAACTGCCATCACTAAGTGATGGCACCACATTGTTCAATAACAGCAATTCCAGTCTTATTTGCCATTGTAAAACAGAGGATTACCTGTATTAAGATCTTCATGTATTGGTACCAGTATATTTAAATGAGATAAATATTGTGAACAAACCTAGGAGCACATTTCAAATGTCAGATAAAGGGAGAAAAACTGTGTTAGCATATGGGATAAAAGGTAAATCTCTTCGCAAAATTCAAATATTTCCTGTAGAGTTCAAATTATTTTTTTTTTGTTGTCTCTAACATCTCATGCTCACATATACCAGCAGTGAACTCAGATATTAATCTCGGATGGCTAGAAACTTCTCTAAAAATGCCATAAAGAAACAAGATGTTGATATTAGGTTATTTGTGTGGAGAAAGTTTCGAAGAAGTTGGAAAAAGGAGAGAATTTCTTCCAAGACAGTCAAAAGAGAACAAAGCATGCTCTGTGGCCTTAGGATGTTGGCACTAGAATTGGGTTTGTGGATGTGTGCCTACGTGTCTCTCTGTGTGTGCATGCATGCAGAAATGATGGAGTATCATGAAAAATGCCCAGTTGACAAAAACATGGAAAA